GGAGCAGCGCGGGCTCCAGCTCAGCTCCCCGCCAGCCTTTGCTCCGGGAGGGGAGGGAGGAGAGACGGGGAGAGCTGCTGAGCTGGCTTAGCAATCCCATTTTTATTAGCGATGCGCTCGCTGATTAGCTCCACATCCTAATGACTCGGGCACGATAAATTACAAAGGAAATGCAGAAATCTCTAGGGTGACATTAACATCTCCCAGAGAGGCAGCGGTGAGATCGTTTTCTGGGCCGTTAAGTGGTCGCTGTTCGTTTGCTACCTCGTCTCTTCCATAGCGATTCTTTTTTTCTCTATTTCAGCCCAGCGCCATCTCAGCAGGCGCTGCGCTGCGGTGACCTCGCATCCCTTCTGCACCGTCCTTCCCCCTCCCTCCCATCTCACCTTCTCCTTCTCTCCGCATCCCGGGGACCACGGCACAACGGGGCGGGTGCCAGCCCAGTGCCCAGCGTCCTGGCACGTTAGGTTTTTGGAGATTTGGGGACGTCAGCCATCTCCTGGGCCCTCTTCTTTGTCTGCCACAAAGAAAGATCTCACCTCAAGGCCCACGTGGTGTTTGCAGGCAATTTGCAGCCCACAAAAGAGGCAAAATCTCTCCGAGAGGTGAATTGTCGCGGGTGATTTGCCCAGCTCTTGAGATAATAACTCTTACTGAAATCGTGGAAAAAGGGGGAGATTCTGGAATTAATGTTTGGAAAGTGCCATGAAAATGAAAAAGCACAAGACGTGGTCGTCATTATTACCGCGTTACGCTGCTCAGCTCAGCACGCTCCCACCCTAGCACTGGAGACGGAAGGGGCAGTCAGTATTTCGGGTGGTGGTGACAGACCTTGCTTTACCTTAGCTTTCAGGAGGGACTGGGAGATCTTTGATGAGGGTGGCCTGACCTGTGCCCTTTCACTGGTCATCCTCAGCAGCCATGGGTCAGATCCTACAGGGATTTTGGTCTCTGGCTCCGTGGAGAGCACAGAGCACCGGTACAGGCTGGGGCTGACTTGCTGGAGAGCAGCTCTGCAGAGAGGGACCTGGGAGTGCTGGGGGACGACAGGGTGACCATGAGCCAGCAGTGTGCCCTGGCTGCCAAGAAGGCCAATGGGATCCTGGGGTGCATCAAGAGGAGTGTGG